CCACACTGCTGTCCTTCTCAGCAAGTATCATTAATGGCTTCTTTTTTATAGTACCTATCGAAAAAAAGGTTGAATGCTGAAGGTGAACTACACTGAGATTTATTTATTATCTACAAGCCCACCAGACCTGATCAATGTGTATGCCCTCGAGATGAGCATTACCATTGACTGTGCTAAAGGGACAGTTTAGAAAAAAAATGAACATTCTGTCATCTTGTCTTTCCAGACCAATATGACTGTATCTCTAATCTCTGCTCTCTGTGTTTCTTCATAGGTCTTCTCGGCTCTTATCCAATTGCCATGTAACATTCTTCTGACATCCGTGTTTCATGGGTTGGTGATCAGTACAGTTTCTGAAGCTCATCTAACAACCTTTTGGAGACATATCAGATTTTCTGTCCAGCTCTCTGAGTGGATGGTACTGTCATTAAGGTACATGGCAGCAGACAGGGTGAAGTCTCACTAAAATCTATCGTCCTCTAGAAATATGTTTTCATTAGTGTGTTTTTGTTTTAATGCAGTGCTTTAAAACAATAGTCCTTAACCTTTTAGACATTATGGACCATCAACACTTGACTATTTTACAGTGTCCCGGTGGGTATACGTATATTGCTAGGCGACCATTACCCGTTTTCTCAGAGGATGACAAGCTGGCAAAACATTGCTGCAACTCTGATACAAGATTTATTCATAGAGAAAATTAAAAAACGCTGCTGTGCTACCGAAATGTGTATATTCCATACAAAATATGAAGCTCATTGGTCAGTTCTTGTCACGTGACTCATGGCATGCTGAAGATGATTTCAGCTGGGTGCACCTGGTGAAGTCTATACGCGGCCGGCCGGAAGTGTGATATGCACATCAATATAACAGCATTTTTATGACACTGTATAACAATAATTAATATTTTTATAGTACTGTGACGGTTGGGTTTAGGGTTGGGGAGGGGGTCAACGTTAAAAAATAAAAATTATTTAGTAATTTATTAGATAGCATAAATAATACTTGGTACAACTACTGTTTTTAAGTTACTGTGATAGTTGAGTTTAGGGTTGGGGTGGGGGTAGACATTAATAAAATACAATAAATGGGAAATTTAATAAATAATATAAAAAATTCTTGTTAACTTCTGGCTACAATAGTATTCGATCTTGCAACAACCAGTGCACATGGGAGGCGTGAGTGCGGCGTGCCCATGGTTGCGTTATTTGCGCTCATCACTACCAATATGTGTGCACAAGCCGCTCACCTCTGGGAAATAATTTATAAGAATTTATAAGACACGATATGGGGATTCGAACTCGCAACGCCCTGACATGCTATTGCACCAAATGTCAGCGCGCTAACCACTAGGCTATTGCGCCGACAGTTTGCGGACTTTTTACACAGTACTTTACCAAATATTTTTTCTGTTTGCAATTTAAAAAATATTTGATTACATTTATGCATTTGGCAGAAGCTTTAGAACACAATTTATGGTCTGATTAGATGACAGGTTGCTAGTACCTGTAGCTCCTGATAATAAATTGAGGGTTTTTTTAAATGAAACAAAGAATCTAAACATTATGTACAACATTACGTCTAACCCACATCCTTGTTTACAACAGAAAGGAAAACATGTTTGTTGAATTTTTAATGTATTAAATGTACTGTAGTGTCGATTAGAATTAGATAACATCTGACAGCATCACAGAAGACTATATGCATCTTCACTAGCCTGTTACACTCTCAGAAATAAAGGTACAGGAGCTGTCGCTGGGGTAGTACCTTTTCAAAAGATACATATTTGTACTGAAAGAGTCCACAGTGGTACCTAAAAGGTGCATATTTGTTCCCAAATGTACCTAAAAAGTACCTTTGAGGTACCATTATGGACCCTTAAGGTACAATAATGTACCTTTTGAAATGGTCACACATATTCATTTGATATACAACAAGAGAGGGAGAGGGGTAGAGAGAGAGAGAGAGAGAGAGAGAGAGAGAGAGAGAGAGAGAGAGAGAGAGAGAGAGAGAGAGAGTGTGTGTGTGTGTGTGTGTGTGTGTGTGTGTGTGTGTGTGTGTGTGTGTGTGTGTGTGTGTGTGTGTATTCTCCAAGTGTGTGCTTTAAATGTCAAGGGTGTGTAGGTTTAGCATTTCATTTAGCATACAATTAAAAAGGGGAAAGGGGGGAAAGAGATAATCACGAAGGAAGGGAAGTTAGGAGAGGGCAGGTCACTAAAATGAAGAGGAGGAGGAAAAGAAGAAGACAAACAAATAATTGTTGAGAAGATAAATGGAGTAAAAGAGTGATGGTGAAAAGGCTAAAGAGGAATTAAATATGGAGGGAATGAATCAAGTGTGAAAAGCAGCCATGATTAATAAATAAAGTAAAATAGAAGTACAGCATGAAACTCCTGAAAGAAAGAGAAAGAAAATGCTGCACTGTAAAAAAAACCCTGGTTGCCTTAAATTTTTAAGCTGAATGAAATTTACCTTATGAGTCTTTTGAACTTATATTATGTTAAACAGTTTGTTTAACTTATTAATTTACTAACCCTAAGCTGTCAGGACTAATTGATTGTATACAGTACTTTTTTACAGTGTGGAAAATGGAGTTCAGGATTGACAATGACAGTTTATTTATAAAGCACAATTAAAAACAACCAAAGTAGACCAATGTGCGTCACAATAACTAAAAACATAATCAAAAAGAGTAAGTCAAAGACAACAAGTATAAAAAAAAGAGAATATATATATATATATATATATATATATATATATATATATATATATATATATATATATATATATATATATATATATATATTCCCAGCCACCACAGGTTAAATTACTAATCATTTAGTTTTAATAATGTATTTTTTGATGGGATGTAATAACCTAATATCTGTTTCCACCCACTGGTATGAAATGATATTGCAGTCTATTATTGAACAGACTGAGAAGACTGAGGGTAAAAAAAGAAAAGAAATAAATACTATAAAAGTCAATAATAATAAGATTTTGTCATTTTATTTGTAATATGGTTGTGACAGCGCAGAAGGAAGTTGTAGCTTATGAATAATAATTAGGGTAATCATAAGTATATTAACATATTTGTTACCTTTCTCATAAATAGTGTATTTTTAATAGTGTATATATTTTTCCAAGTCAAAACAAAAAATAGTCATTTAAAGGTGTTTTGAATAAAAAATGTTCATAATTTGTTTTCAAACTGCATTTTTAATTGCATTAAATGTACACAGATGAATACAGACAAACTAACTAAATATTAGTGCAATTATAAACTTTTTACAGTAGTATTTTAATCCACCTTTTTGGATGCACTGTTTTACTGGAATGCTATAAAATAATAATATTGTAAAGCTAAATTTGATCTTATACTGATCTTATTCACCTTATTCTTTGCCGATGAGCGGGCACAGCCATTTAAATCTTTTTGGCTCGAGACTTCCGGTCTCATTCACTTCCATTCATTTTTAGACTTTAAAAAGTGCTCATTTCGCTGTTTGATGTTGAAAACTGATATTTTCTTATTGTATTATTCTACTTGGTCATGCAAACATTTGTTTGTAGAGCAAGTAGTTTTGACCGTTTTCTGCCGTTTATTATTCCTAGTCATTTCTCCAATAGGGGACTGAATCGGAAGTTCTAAAACAATCGCGAAAAAAGGCACACTTCCACATTTTAGAATAGGGTCAATACCTATACAAGATTCCACTTCAATTTCTTCATCACTATCCCAGCTGAGCAGAAAACAGGTCTTGCAAATGTGTAAACCTTTTCTCATTGGGTTGACACATTTTCCTCACTATTTTTCAAAACAGTTAACACGTATGTCATTCAAGCAGTCCAATCTCCATTGTTTTAGCTATAGTAACCAACCAGTAACCATCTATTCCTAGCTATTAGAAACTACCAAGATCAGTATGAAATCACTAAAGCACCGGTTTGACTCTCCTTCACACAAATCTTCAATTAGCAATCAGTCTGCAAACATTAAAAATGGTGGAAGGTCTGTGTTGGTTGGTCTGTGCCAGCATGGAAGGAGGAGGTCAATAGAGGTCAATATGTGCTATACTCCCAATAGATTTGACTGTATATTGGTTTACATGTGTTTTCTCTAATATTTACAGGATTTTATTACTTTTGTCTTTTTTTTCTTTTTTTTCTTTTCTTTTTTTACAGTATTTCAGTTTTCAGCCACAGTTTGAAAAATGTCATGAATTTAATTTACATTTAATCAAAGCATTTCTTCTTCTGGATCCAATTCTGTGCAAAAAGGCAAATTTGACAGCCCAAATAGAAAGACAACAACTGGCATTGGCAATAGGCTTCATTGGCAAGCAATGGTGCTTTGATTCACACCGAGTTCTGTATTTTGTAATTTGTTGTCCGTTGTGTAATGATTAATTGAAAGAGCTTGTATACTTGTTTGCAAGTTGTGTTGTTTGAAGGTAAAACTAGCTTTTGTTGCATATTTTAAATGTTTTGACATGGTATGTGAGTTTTGCAAGCAAAATGTGCCGCTGTTTTGGTGTGTGTGTTAACTTTTTTGAAAATGTGGGGTTTCAGTTGACGGCTGCATCAAAACAATCAAGAAAAACTGTAATGTTTGTGATGTTTAAAATATCAAGTGAAACATGCACATGATTAGCTAGCATATTGAATCAGTGGCCTAATTTGAGTCAACTGGCACACACACACACATACGCACACTTGTTCTGGGCCATCAGGTCACTATATTATTGAGCCTTGCAATAAAAACAAACACAAAAAGAGACTGTCCAAATCCTGTTAGTCAAAAGTGTGCTCTGTTTTTTTTATGGTTATCCTTTACTATACACTAACATAGTAGCACATTACCTGAATTAACTCCTGCTGTGATCCAATAAAATACACGTGAACTGCATTGCGCTCAATCCTATTACAGTATTAGACTGCCTCTGCTTCTTCATCCTGCTGATTTCCTAGTATTAAGCCAGCACTAAAATACTATTCATTAATTTGATTAAGCAAAAACCCAGAGAAAGCAGCCCAGTGAACAAATGCAGACTAAAAAGAGCAGTAAGAATTTGACATTATGCACAGATCAGGATAGTGTGAAATAGGGATATCGAGGGAAGTAGAGAGGGGAAAATAAACGTGAGGAACGTGAGGTCAGGTCTAATAATACTGATAAGAGCTTGTCATGGCCGCCTCACCATCTCATTCGATTGGGAAGAATGGAGACTGTGTGGGACAATTGCGTGTGTGTCTGCCAGCTGTGTGTATGCGTTTGGGATGTGTTTGTATGCGTGTGCCAGATTAGTGTTTGTTTGTTAGAGCTGTGTGTGTGTTTACTACGACTTTCTGTACTGCTGTTCCACTGGATCCCTCATATCGGACTGACGGTGTGGATCTGGCAACGCACACATAGGAAGACTCAGTTTGATGCTAATCATGTTTACGGTATGCGTAGTGTCTGTGTCAAGTGGGCATATGTGGATATTTGACCTCTGTAGTTTGTTGTGCGTGCTTGTGGTAATTATTTTGAAGTTTAGTAATGTTGTCTACATCAGAAAATACTATGTGTGTGTGTGTGTGTGTGTGTGTGTGTGTGTGTGTGTGTGTGTGTGTGTGTGTGTGTGTGTGTGTGTGTGTGTGTGTGTGTGTGTGTGTGTTTGTTGATGTCTGACTGTGCTGAGAGAGTCTTAGATGCCATATTTCAGCATGACCAAATGACACAGCACTTTGATATTCTGATGTCACAGTGAGCAAGCACTAATGTTTATAAAATGGGAGTGGCTTATAAATTTTTTTTACATTAGTTTAATTTTTATTCCAGCTTTGTGTAATGATATGTAGAGTTAGGCTGCTCTGTTTTACTTAAATGTCATAATTTGTAAAGTCAAATTATACTTTATAGTGTCTAATGATATAAACAAATTTAAATAGAATTGATTTATAAAAACTGCCTATGAATAAACTATTTTAAAAAACCTATATATACATGTAATATTAAAAATAATAATATTATAATATAATGAAATATATCTATGTCTATATATATATATATATATATAGATAGATAGATAGATAGATAGATAGATAGATAGATAGATAGATAGATAGATAGATAGATAGATAGATAGATAGATAGATAGAGATATATATACATATAGATATATAATATATATATAATATAATAAAATATAATATAATTTTATTATATTATAAACATAATATAATAAAATATATCTATGTCTATATAAATATATATATCTATATCTATATGTCTATATATATATATATATATATATATATATATATATATATATATATATATATATATATATATATATATATATATATATATAATATTTTAAAATGAATGCATTCAATACCCAACAAAAGTCTAATCCAAGTTTCAGGAACAACAAATAATAACTTGACTTCTAGTTGATCATTTGGTATCAGAAGTGGCTTATATGAAAGGCACAGGCCTCTAGATTATGCTTATTTTACTAAAATAAATGATGATCATGACTTAATTTTTAAATATTTAATTAGGACCGCAAGGTCTGACTTTGGTAAGACAAAATACTTTTCACTTAACAGAAATAATGTATAGTATAGAATATAAAGTCATGGTTCAGTGGAAAAAGAATTAATATTGTTTGACTCCTATGAGCTTGGAGCATCCATACATCTCTTGCAATGACAAAGAAATCATTCTTGCAGGACTCTCAGAGTTCATCAAGATCCTTTGGATTTATCCTCAATGCCTCCTCCATCTTCTTACCCCAGACATGCTCAATAGTGTTTATATCTGGTGATTAGGCTGTCCAATCCTGGAGCATCTTAACCTTCTTTGCCTTTAGGAACTTTGATGTGAAGGCTGAAGTATGAGGAGCGCTATCCTGCTGAAGAATTTGCCCTCTCCTGTGGTTTGTGATGTAATATGCAGCACAAATGTCTTGATACCTCAGGTTGTTGATGTTGCCAACCACTCTGCAGATCTCTAACACACGCCCATACTGAATGTAACCCCAAACTATGATTTTTCCTTCACCAAACTTGACTGATTTCTGTGTGAATCTTGGGTCCATGTGGGTTCCAATAGGTCTTCTGCAGTGTTTGTGAAGATTGGGATGCAGTTCTACAGATGATTCATCTGAAAAATCTGCCTGCTGACATTTTTACAAATGATCAACTAGAACTCAAGTTATAATTTGTTGCTCTTACAACTGAGATCGGCAATATGTTTTTTGTTGGGTAGTGTACATCCTGTATGATAAAGATTCAAATACATTATCCAGATATTATTAACAAAAAATAGTTTGATTCAAACAAATAAATACAATATTAAATGAATAATGGGTGGTGTGGTGGCGCAGTGGGTAGCGCTGTCACCTCATAGCAAGAAGATCGCTGGTTCGAGCCTCGGCTGGAGCACTTCTATTCCCACACATACACTACGGGCAATTTAGCTTATCCAATTCACCTGTACCGCATGTCTTTGGACTGTGGGGGAAACCGGAGCAACCAACACGAACGTGGGGAGAACATGCAAACTCTACATCGAAGCGCCAACTGACCCAGTTGGGGCTCGAACCAGCGACATTGTTGCTGTGAGGCGTTACTGAAATTGTTTTTGTTAACATGATCTGAGTAAATCCATTTCATCCATTTTGTTTGTTATGAGAAGTGCAAGAATTGTTGAGTTATGTTAGGAAAAGAGCAGAGAATAAAACAGCAAAACACTCATGTTGAATGAGATGTTGATTTCATTCTAGTTATTTACAGGAATAAAATCACATTATTTTAATCTCAAATGTATTAAATAGCAGAAATTATCACACCACCGTTAGGTCCACCAGTTCTAGCTTCATGTGGTTCAAACAAGTTTGCAAGCCTGCGACAATTCAGGAAACTAGCTAGTTTTTTGAACAGTGCATCATTATGGTGGTTCCGAAGGGAGTTAGAACACTAACCATTTGTTTCATCAATAAGAGTACTGTGAGAGCTTTGAGATTAGCAAATGTATGTGTTTGTCATTGTAAACATGTGACATTATTTCTTCTGTAAAGCATGAAGGATTTAAAAAAACATTTTTGAAGAACTCTGGTTACTGAACACTTTCGGTTCCCATGTTTCATTGTTTATTCCAGTCGATGGGAACCGAAACTGTTTTGTTGTCTATATTCCTCAGAATATCTGCTGTTTGGAAGTGAATTAAGTTAACTAAATGGATTTGTTGGTGTTTCAACAGGATCAAAAGATCCAAGTTACTGTGATGAGTCAAAGACTGAAGTACTTGCTGGTAAGGCTCTTCTGGAATGTGGTGTAGTAGAGTAGTAGTAGTTGGCAGTCAATTCAAAGAGCAGACCATAGATAAGTAAATTTCCCTCAGGTAAATATTTTTTAGGATCGATTAGCAGCCTCATTAAAAGAAACTAAATTTAGAGCTACAGTAAGTTTTACATTACCACAAAATAATTACATAAAAATATTAGATTATATATTGTTTAAAGTTTATTTATAGTTTTGTGCAAAAAATATGAGGTGAGTTATTGTTCAATGTCTGGTGCACATGACATCCTTTTGCCCAGGATTTTGCCATTTAAGACAATTTTGTGTGATAGTTAAATATTTCTATTGGCTTTCTAAAATCTCTTAGAAATCACACAATCATACAATCTCTCATTATAGCATCCTAGATATTCAGAAAATCATACAACGCCTGATTGTTTTGACTGACATACATAAACGTTTGCACTACATTTAATGTCACTGAAGAGAATAATCTGGTGCTAAGAAGGTTTAACTGAGCACTGTAAATAACTTATTTAATTAGCAGGCCAAGACTGACAGGTTCAGTGATGAGTGTCTCTAACCCATAACAACTAACAGAGTCTTGACTGGCTGGTTGTTAGCAAAATCACCAGCAACTCTGATGAGTCTGCAGACCCTGATTCACAGTAGCACAATAGCATTAACATGCACTATATGGACATTTAACAGCAGTGTCATAAACACCCAGCAGATGTTACACAGTGGGACAGCAGAGTCATAGAGTTTAATCCAGACCACTATAATCCCATTAGGACTCTAATCTTTCACAAAAAAAGTCTTCCTCTTTCTAAATGTAGTAACGAAAGATATATTTACTGTATTTGTACTTCACAAGGACCCAATTGGATGGGTAAAGATTTCATTTAGAGACAGCTATAGGCCCACACAGATATTTCTTATTACTTTTTATTAACTTTATTTACTTTTTATTTAATTATTTACATTTCTCTACAGGGTTATATCACAGCAAAACATAGATTCTTGAAAGTACTTAAACTTAAAGTTGATGATGTTATTTCAACAATTGTGCTGTTCTGCTTTCAGAAACTGAACAAAACAAACAAACAAACAAAAATATTAATTAAAATATTATATTTTAAATCGTGCACAAGAACTGTGACACACAATGCAATTTGATCAATATTTCAGGGACCGTATTTAAATATTACCAGTATTGAATTCAATGAATTGTATTAAAGTTCTTTAAACATGACTGTTTTTCATTACTAGGATATTTTTAACTTAAATATTACGTATAAGTGAAATGTACAGTAGTACAGTAAGGACTTTCATAGCACTAAATATGAAATTACAAAGATTCTTCATTTAAAAATAAAGGTGCTTTAAAAAGTCCTTTAAAGTCCTTGAATTTGCTGTTCATGATAGAGTTTAAACCCTGTCTATACATATGCACTCACCGGCCACTTTATTAGGTACACCTGCCGAGCTTCAGAATGGGGAAGAAAGGTGATTTAGGTGACTTTGAACATGGCATGGTTGTTGGTGCCAGACGGGCTGGTCTGAGTATTTCAGAAACTGCAGCGAATGGTCAGAAAAAGAGAAAATATCCACTGAGCGGCAGTCCTGTGGACGCAAATGACTTGTTGATGCCAGAGTCAGAGGAGAATAACCAGACTGGTTTGAGCTGATAGAAAAACAACAGTAACTTGAGGCGGATAGGCTACAGCAGCAGAAGACCACACCGGGTGCCACTCCTGTTAGCTAAGAACAGGAAACTGAGGCTACAACTGACAAAAATTCACACCAAAATTAGACAATAGTACATTTAAAACGTTGCCTGATCTGATGAGTCTCGATTTCTACTGCGACATTCGGATGGTAGGGTCAGAATTTGGTGTCAACAACATAAAAGCATGGATTCATCCTGCCTTGTATCAACGGTTCAGGCTGATGGTGGTGGTGGTGTATTGTTGCTGACCAAGTTCATCCCTTTATGACCACAGTTTACCCATCTTCTGATGGCTATTTCTAGCAGGAAAATACACCATGTCATAAATAAAGACTCGTCATAAAGAATCATCTCATACTTGTTTCTTGAACATGAAAATGAGTTCACTGTACTGAAATGGCCTCCACAGTCACCCGAGCTCAATACATTAGAGCACCTTTGGGATGTGGTGGAATGGGAGACTTGCATCATGGATGTACAGCCAACAAATCAGCACCAACTGCGTATTGCTATCATGTCAATATGGATCAAAATCTCTGAGGAATATTTCCAGTACCTTGTTGAATCTATGCCACCAATGATTAAGGCAGTTCTGAAGGCAAAAGGGGGTAGAACCTGGTACTACTAATGTGTACCTAATAAAGTGGCCGGTGAATTTGTTAATTCAGTTTTTATATTATTTCAGTAATAATATTGAATAATATACAATTTTTTTGTTTAACATATTTACAATACAGTTTAAAAAGTAATATTTCTTTCATTTATTAGATATATTACATAAGAAACTTGCCTAGTTTATCAAACAAGTGGTTATTGCATTGTAAACCTTAAATAAATGTTACAAATTTTATTTGATATTTTAGGTTTTTAGTTACTATACTTCCAATATCTTGTTTTTTATTAAAAACATTTTGCACAGAAATAGCCAAAAATGTCAGCATTACAGGTGAATTGGGTAGGCTAAATTGTCCGTAGTGTATGAGTGTGTGTGTGAATGTGTGTGTAGATGTTTCCCAGAGATGGGTTGCGGCTGGAAGGGCATCCGCTGTGTAAAAACTTGCTGGATAAGTTGGCGGTTCATTCCGCTGTGGCGACCCCAGATTAATAAAGGGACTAAGCCGACAAGAAAATGAATGAATGAATGATATGCATTCTTATTAGCTCTGCTTTGGCTTTACTGAATGTATCATATTTCTTGTCATGTCAACCATTTATGTGCATAAACATGTATCAAGAGCTGTACACTGATAATATCTGTTTTTGATCAATTAGCCAGTGATGTGCAGAATTAGTTTTATTTGTTATACCAATTATTGTTAAATCTCTAATAAAATGTATCTAATGAAGTGTATGCATGCACAAAATAAGATTTATTCAGAAAAGAAAACAAACTCGGCAAATTGATAAATAATTATTCAAAATTAATGCAATATATATATAAAGAATTCAGTAATAAATATTATTTATAAGTGTTTTTTTTTTAAAAAAGAACAAAAAATAATATCGAAGACTTGTGTTTCTTCTCATGCTCTTCATAGTAAGTAAATCATATAGACATACAGTACACACACACTCACCATCTTGCCATATAATCACAATATTGTGTTATAGAGTGTTTTTTCAAAAAAGATCAGATGAAATTGCGCTAATAATAATTCAATGGTGCAGAGCTCTGATCATTTGTCTAGGACGTAGAAGTAAATTAATTGTTTTTATAATGTCCTTGTGTTACAGATGGAAAGACTACTTCTACAACGTGTTTCGATAGTGGCCTGGATGATCTCAGCTGTTCCTCCGCCACGCACAATAGCTGTAAGTCTGTGTGTGTATGTATGTGTGTGTGTGTGCGAGAGTATTTTTGCACTACACATTCAAAGTATGCCCAATGGAAGAGGAAAGAGTAAAGGTCATGTTGCTGTAGATTGGTGCATGCATGTCCAACCCTTTGCATGCGCTTTCTTGGTTATCCCTGTAAGTGTTTTGTGTTTGTTTCTGCTTGTGTTTCTACATAAAAACTAAGCAAAATGGAATTAAAGGGGGAGTAAATGCAATGTTCTTGTTTGAATCAGAACACTAAGAGCACGTGGTGCAGCTGGAGATAATGTTAAATTTAGTTATGAAGGGGGGGTGGATTCAGTGTGTGTACGTGTGTGTACGTGTGTGTGTGACATTGAATTCCAAGAGCAGAGGGTGTTTGTACTGCCGCCACACTCCCAATTCACTTTCTCAGTCGGTCTGGAAGAGAGTGGTCTGATAGTAAGAATAAGACTGTCGGTTTGCTGTACTCTTGTCTTCCTCAGGCCGTCTCTTCGAAATGCAGCATTCGGCACCTGTGGACCCCACAAAGATGGGGGTTGGAAGGGCTATTGCTGTCCTCACCTCTGGAGGAGATGCACAGGGTGAGGATGTGTGTATTTCTGCTAACCCTGACTAACCCTTTGGATGTAGAATAAGATTGCTGACTTGTTTGGGGTCAAAATTTAAACCACAAACTAAGAATGAATCTAACAACTTGGTGCTTTAAAACATTTATACAACAAAACATATTTAAACATGTTATTTAGTTTTTTATGAGCTTATTAGTCCATATTTAATACAAAATATCTGTTAATTAACAGTTTCTTTTAAATTGTGATTCATGGGTGTTTTTATTGATATAATATGTTAAATTATTTTTTGATATTTGCATATTAGATATGTCGCTTGGGTAAGTGCATACATTTTTTGGAAACGGTTTCATAACCTTAGGAGTTACCCCTAGAATAAAAGCAGTTTTGACCATATTTGGAAGGGTCATGAATATTAATGATGCTCCACATGTCAGTGCCTGCTTTCACACACACACACAAACACAAACTCAAAATAATTATACCTTATTTGTCGAAATATATTTGAACAAACTTGTGTAGATGTCAAAGGGAAATTGTTTTAACTGATGTGGAAAAAAGGATCAGGTTTAGAGTGAATGAGCTATCTTTCCATAAGAGCTTCTGAGTTATGTGCTGTGGATGAAATATATAGACTAAATTAGAATTATACGTAGAGATGCATTTAGAGCTGTATTTTGTGTGTTTAATGTTTAGAACATGCAAACTCCACACAGAAATGCCAACTGACCCAGCCGAGGCTGGAACCAGCGACCTTCTTGCTGTGAGGCGAACGTGCTACCCACTGCGCCATAGTGCAGCCCTTGCTCAAACATATTCAGCAAATTTCATATTGTACATGTTAAACTCAAAAAAGTACATTTAAACCAATTTTATGGCACTTACTAAATGCATAACCCATATACCCCATATTTTCCATTCTGATGAGCAGTAAACAGATGAAACACATGGCTGTGTGAAAAAAAAAGATCATTGTTATAATCTTACTAAGAAACTTTGTGGTCAGTCAATCGCAGCCTGAGGCAAGCATATTAACAAATCCATGTGCACTCAGTATTTTGTTCTAATTGGCTTTTTTATCACTGGGATTTTATACTCACAGGATTTACATGAAAACAAGGAAGCAATAGTGTTTGAGGCTCACAGTATGGCCATTTCCATGAGTTCTCATTATTCAACCATCCCAGCGCATATACAGATTTTCTTCCTTTAGGTTACAAATTCTATACAGAAACTTTTGATGTTACCAATCGTAATAGTAATCCAAATAGTAATCCTTTAGTTTAACAAAGTGACTTTTATTGACAATTGTAGTATTTTAAATCAATATATTGTATAACAAATGACATCTATGGAAATTAAGGGTGTACTCACACTATGTTTTCTGAACCGTGCCCAGGCCCGTTTCCCGGATTGTTTGAGAAGTGTGGGTGCTCTAAATCAGGCTCAGGCATGGTTCAGTTGGCTGGCCCTGGCCCGGTTGGAAGAGGTGTGCCAGAGCGCAGTTCTCTTGGGCTCAGACGCGGTATGCTTGTAGCGTGAGTGCAAAGCATGCCTGAGCCCGAAACTGAAGACGAGACCAGAGGTGACATTTACGGGATTGTTTCATATGGATTTATTAATAATTTTTATTTTTCAATGAACGCAAACTGTCGTAGTTCATTAAAGATGCAAACCCCTCACTGCACGACAGCTGCACCTTTAGCAAACCTCCTAATTCCTGCAGCGAGGACTTTATGATTGTTAATGAGCATCAAAAGTGGCTGACCTGTTTGGTGAAATATTTGACTGCGTGTCACTGCATCCCAAACAACTAAAACGATATAACGATATAAAGAAATCTTCACTGTGCTGAGCGAGAGCGCTTACTAAACAGCGCATCATCGATGACGTAAAAGTGCTCAACCCCAAATGTAAGTGAGTGCGGGCTGTCGAAGGAGACAGGAGGAGGGACAATCGTGCTTCGGCCCGGTTCAAGGCAACAGTACTTAGTGTGAGTACGCCCTAATTTGTGGGAAAAAACAGGGCTGTTTTCTACTGGCAGCTCATTTTACTTCGTTGATTCAAAGCACTAAAAAGTTATTAAAAAGTCTCTTTTCAACATCAAACAAACATTGTTGGAGTAGAGATCAAGGGTTCCATAATACAATTTAAAGTCAGAAGTAACTGTTAATTAACCTATATATTTCATACTGTGTACTGTATCTTACCATTCAAAATTATTAAATGTTCAGTATTATTTTTTATGTTCAGCAAGGCTCCATTTATTTGATATATATATATATATATATATATATATATATATATATATATATATATATATATATATATAAACTGATTTTCTGGGTGTATATATATATATATATATATATATATATATATATATATATATATAAATATAAACTGATTTTGATGGGTTTTCTGCATCATTTGGGATCACATGATAACAAACCATGATGGTTTCCAGTTTTGGGAGAACCATACCTTTAAATTAGTGTTTTGCTTGTGCACATTAAGAGAAACATCCATTTTTTCATATAAACTCCAAAGTATTCTTTATGTCATATGTACATTTGATATACTATTCCTAATATACAATATACTTAAATGCTACACTTATATTTTCATTTGCAAACTCAGTGATATGCAGCTTATTTCAGTTTTGCATTAAAATGCAAGGTATTAAGTCTCGTGTGTGATAGATGATGATTTGAAGCGGTTGTGTTGGCTCCTTGATTACCTGATTGAACCTCCACCTCCTCATTTACTATAGCCGCCCCGTTGAATGAGCAACAGGGATCATATATCAGAGAGGTCACGAGGGGTGCTAAAGCTTTCACACTGACCTTTTATCCAACCTTTAGCTGTAGGAAAAAGAAGCAACCTTTAACCTTATCTTGTACCAGCTGGAGAATAAGTCAAATAACTGTGTAATGTCAACTAGTCCTATAAGAACCTTAACTATGGGGGTGGCATCATTCCCTCTCCCCTTCGCTCAATTCCCGCCCATGATCTCTCTTGTCTCTCTCTCTGTCTGGGGGGTGTTATATTTAGCCGCTGACCTTTGGGGAAATGTGGTTGCTTTAGAGAGCTGGGCAATGAAGCTTGCCTGTTGTCCTCTCTGCTTCAATCTTAAATGAAACTCAAGCCACTTAGATTGCCCTTTTCAATGGGACTTAACCACCACGTGTGTGTTAGTGGGACTAGATGGGGTTGGGGAATGAAACCAAAAACACTTTCCCTTTAATTAGTAGTTTGTGTAGCTGGATGTGTGTCACCAAATCCTAATTAAATGCAATGCTTGTGACAAATTAAAGACACAAACATAAGGCCTCTGGTATATAAATGTGTAAAATGTGTGTGCGATTCATTATTTATTAAATCTCAGGTATGAATGCTGCTGTTCGAGCCACGGTGAGAGTTGGGATCTACACTGGTGCAAAGGTTTATTTCGTGCATGAGGTTTGTGCATCTAAACAAACACACACACACACACACACACACACACACACACACACAAAATAAAGGAATAAAATTGAAAGACTGGCTTTCGCTGCACAGAAAAAGAAAAATTTTTAAATTCACTCTCTGATTCAATCAGATCTTAGTAAATTCTAAACCTACTCAGGGTTCTATTTTAACAATCTAGGTACAAAGTCTAAAGCGCATGGCGCAAAAGCATCAAGAGCGTGTCTGAATCCACTTTTGCTATTTTAAGGATGGAAAAATACGGTTTGTGCCATGGTGCATGGTGCACAGGGTTGTGCTTATTCTCTTAATGAGTTTTAAACATAAAGTGCATTAAACCAATCAGAGTCTTGTCTTGTTCTCTTTAAGAGTCAGTTGCATCATGCCATGGTGCATTTGCTATTTACATGGCGGACATTGTAAGTGGAAAAACTGAACACTTTAGCAAGAAAACAGTTAAACAGACCATCTACAGCGCAAGAAAAAAGAATGAGCCTCCTCCAATCGACCTTTTTACTTTCTTTTTACTTTTACTCTTTACTCTTTTACTTTCATGGATAAGGAAACGGTATTGTACACACTCCACTGAAGACATCCATTAGCCTAGATATTTAATTTAGTTTGTTAAGCGTTTGTTTCAAAACTATTTCTAAATTCAGTTCTAATTTTCAGTAAACGAATAAATGAACAATAATAACAAAGTTAAATCCAAACACATGTCCTATTCTTATGCTTCATATGGTGATGCATGTCTCCAAAACCTGACAGGTGGACAAATCTAAACTAGTTTTTATTAAAACAAATATAAATATGCATATAATAAATAATACTAATAATAATCACGTTATACAAATGCAAATTCTCATGATTAAACTGAAAAAAAGTCCCCCGGGATGAGGCATGGAGGCAGTGTTTTTTTATATTTATGTAGAAAATTTTAAAAAATATCTTAATCCTTTAATTTTTTCGGTATGATAATTGTGTATTGCTGTACATCCTGTGTGTATTAAGCAATGTGTAAGTGTTTGGACTTGCATAGGCGCATAATTAACGCACTCTGCGCTGAACTTTAGACCAGCTTCTAGTTGGTTAATGGCACAGTCTATTTCAGTTGCTCTAAATAGCATGTGGCAACAATGCCTTAACACACATCCTTTATAGACCGGAGCACTCATGAGTCCACAAAGTGGTGCAAATAGATTTGCAATTTAAACAACATGGTGCAAAAC